GGGGGGGGGGGACTCAAGCAGAGGGACCGAGAGGAAGGAGGAAGCCTCTTGTCCACGCTGGCACCTTTCCGCGCAGGTCACCTCTGCCTGGAGCTCAGCGCCAGGAGACAAAGGCCCCCCCAAGGGATAGCCAGCCCCTGCCAAGGGTAAGAGCTGCGCCAGGCCAGGTGGACAGATCCTGGGAAGAGCAGCCCCTGCCTGCCGCTCGCTCGTGGGAGCCACGCCTGACAGCCCTTCTGGGCTCAAGTCTCCTGCGGGCATCGGCGCACGCGGGCAGGGCTTGGGGTCCGGGAAGGAGGCCTGACTCCAGGGGGGAGGGGGGTCAACCCTGAAGGTCCCAGGGTTTCTCCCGCAAGAAGGCATTGCCCACCTCAGACCCCACCTCAAGCCCATTCAGCCCGGGGGGGGGTTGGCCTCTCACCAGAGATGCCCCGGCCGAAAAGGCTGCACCAAGGCAGGGATACGGAGTGATTTCTGAGGGTCTGGGGGGGAGGCACCCACCCCTCCCTGCTGTTTCCCCTCTGCCTGTGGGAATCTTTGGAGGCCAGAGGAAGGCATGGCAGGCAGGAGACCCCACCTGCTCCCGGGCTGGCTCAAAGCCTCCCTTCATCAGCAGGGGCGGAAGCGAACGGTCTGCCCGTGAAATCATGCCCAGCCCGGCATGGAGAGAAACGTCCCCTGCCCACCCCCCATCCCCCGTGGGCAGGTCCAGAGAGTGCGTGGCGGCCTTCCAGGGAGCAGCTCCCTCTGCCCACCCGAGCGAGGGGACCTGCTGGGAGTGGGGAGGAGGGCAGGGGCAGAGAGGCATCCGCTCCCTGGTGGGTCCGCCTTCTTCGCAGGGTCTCTCTGGGCTGGCCGAGAGGGACCGCGACCTGCTGCGCCTCCAGACGGGGAGGATGAGCCCGGCCAAGAAAGGGAGGGTCACCCAGGAGATGAAGGAGGAGGCCTTTGAGAGATACCTGCGGATCTTCTACAAGGAGCAGCCCAAAATGGAGGTGAGGCCGGGGTGGTGGCTGCGGGCAAGGGAGAGCCCAGGAGGGGTTGGGGTGGGCGGGCAGGCAGGCAGGCGGAAGGGCTGGTCCCCTGGAGCAGGTCTCCTTCCTTGGCCGGGAGGGCTGGTGGAGAAACACCCGAGAGAAGGGGGGGGGACACGTGCGACCATCTGCTTCTGTCGGGTGCCCATTCCTCCAGGGGGCTAGTAGCCCACCTTCCCCACCCCACCCCATCCCCATTCCATTCAGCGGTTCCCCGAGTCTGATTTCCTCTGGCTGAGAGGGATCCTTCCCTACGGGTGCTCTCCACAGATCCCTAAGGAGGACCCCTTTGACGCTGACGAGGTGCTGGAAGCCCTGCGCCACGTGGACTCCGTGGCCAAGCTCTACGGGCCGGCCAGGCCTAACATGTTTCTGGGGTGCTTCCCCCGCCCCTCCGTCCTGAAACCTGCAGAACAGACACCCCCGGTAACTGAACTCTCCCCCTTGCGCGGTCTTCTCCCGGGACCTCCCGGGTCCCATTCCTGGGCTCCTCGCAGCCTGGCCTCAGCAGCCCGGAGGATCCGGCTGGGAGACTCCCAGCTCCTGCCAATCTACCCCAGTTCTTCTTGGCTGGGGGGGGAGGGGAGGGGGGAGCCCATCCCATCCCATCCCATCCCATCCCATCCCATCCCATCCCATCCATACCCTTGACCCCCTTGGTTGAAGTCCAGGCTGCAGAGCCAGGCAGGGAAGCTCCCCAGCTTTGCCTTGGGCAGATAAAGCGGCCGAGACCCTCTCGGGCCCTCCGTCCTTGCTCCTTGTCCAAGGTGGCCCACGGTGGGAGCCACTCATGCAGCAAGGGGGGGGGGCTTGTCCACGGTGGCTGTTGGGGTCCTGCTGGCTTTCCGGGCCGCCTTGGACGGCACGAGCGTCTCCCCCTTGCTCTCCCTTGCAGGAGGCCAGCCCCCCGGCAGAGAGCAGCTCCAGGGTCCCCTCCCTCGGGAGGATCCCTCTCGCTGTCACCCTCGAGGCTTTGGTCCAGTTTTCCCGAAGGAAGAAGGACAGGAAGGAGGAGGAGGTGAGTGCCTGGACGCGGGCAGCCGCTCTGCTCTGCCGAGGCAGGGAGCCGCCCCTTGCTGGGGGTGGGAGTGGTGGATGATGGCTACGGTCCGTCGGTCGGTGGGTCGGTGGGTCGTGCAGGGCTCAGCGCGTGCCCATTGTTCTCCCCAGGCAGCTCTGCTGGAGAAGGAACAGGCCCCCCCTCTCAAAGGGCCAATCCTCTCCCCCAGGGAGGCCTCCCCATCCGCCCAAGCACCCAAGCCGCCCCTGACGCCCAGCGTTTCTCCACAAGCCATCTCTGCCGCGGGTTCCAGGGAAGGGAGGCGCAAGGGCCGCCGCAAGAAGAAGGTGAGCGCCCAGAGGGAGGAGAAGCAGAAAGGGCACCCAGGCATCCAAAGCCGCTCTTGGGACAAGAGTCTTGGCCCCCCCTCTTGCCCGAGGCGTTCTGAGCCCCTCCGGTCACTCCTACCCGTCTCGTCCTGAGTCTCAGGGCACAGGTTGGCCTTTCCAGCCCTGCCGGGGGTCTCCTCTGGCTGGCAACTGCTCTGCCACCCTCAGGGGTTGTGTGAAAAGTATTTCCTGAGGAGGGTGGGAAGAGCATCCTTCCTGGGTGCCAGCCGCCGGCTTTAAAGCCATCCTCTGCTTCAGCCGTCCTCTGGGCACCCCTGCACCCGAGCCGAGCCGGCAGCCCCCAACCAGGCAGGAGGGAGGCAGCAAAGGGTGAAGAGGTGGCCCCGGTGTCTGTGTGTGTGTCTGTGTGTGTGTGTCTGTGTGTGTGTGTGAGTGATTGTGTGTGTGTGTGTGTGTGTGTGTGGCTGCAAGGAAGAAAGCAAATCCCGAGCCCACCCTTTATTGCTTTGCACCCCAGTCGGACAAAGGCTTAGGCGTGGTCCACGAGCCGGACACGGCGCCTGCATTCCCGCTGTCTTCCTACGTCTCTCCAGCCCCCGGTGGTGTGGCAGAGGCCATCCCGCATGAGAAGGTAACAGCCCCCCCCCGAGCACCATCCTGCTCCCATTGATTTCAAAGAGGCTTCTGGAGAAGGTGCTTTGCTTCCCCTGGATTTGTCCTCTTGGATGGAAGGAAAACGCCCCTGCAGCAGCCCACGTTTTTCCCTGTGGGGGCGAGAAATCTGTTACTTCTCGTCCGATGTTCATTCTCCCTGCCTCGTCCAGAACCGTGTTGGTGTCTATGGCAGGTTTTCATCACCTTTTGGGGTGCCAGGGTGTGTGTGGGTCCCCTACCTGGTCCTGCGCCTGCCAGGGCCACCCGAGCTGCCCCCAGCACCTTGTCCATTGGGCACAGGAACCGCGCAGGATTCTGGCCAGAGTTCCCGCCCACAAGAACGGCGCAGCTCCTTGTTCCCTGACCCCCCCCTTCTGATGGGGCTGGAGCTGGCTGGAGGGGCCGGATTTCTGCCCTGGAGCATTTTCTGCCCTTCTGGGGAGGAAGAAAGCGGGCGTGAGTAGTATAGGTGGGGAGACCATGAGGGGCCTGGATTTTTTTGGAGGTGTGAGGGGGGGGCCTTCCTTGCCCAGCTCGTGACGGCTCTCACGGCTTGTGCCTACTAGAGCATCTCCTTCAAGGAGTCCCCTTCGGTGGTCCAGAGGCAGGCGTCCCACAAGCGCTCCTCCAGCCCCTCCTCACGCCCCAGGAGCCAAACGTCTGTGATCGTCAAGGGCTTCTTCCCTGAGAGGCACCCCGAAAGCCCAGAGTGGAGCCGTTCACAGATACGGAGGGTATGGGCGCTGCTTCTTCTGAGAGGTGGCTGGGGGGGGAGGAGAAGGGGAGAGGAGGAGGAGGAGGAGGAAGAGAAGGCCTACCGGGGACTCTGGGAGGTGGGTGAGGGCGGTGGTCCCCTTCGTGCCACTTGGCCGGCCAGGCAGGCGGTTCCTGCAGGGTTGCCGGAGGAAGGCCGCTCTTCTCTGAACTGTGGCGCGCTTCGATTTCCAGGCGTTGGGAAGTCGGCAGAGCGTGCCACTGCCCGGAATATCCTCTGGGTACATCCCGAATTCCGTGGTTGCCCAGCAGCTTCATGTCTGGGATCAGCCGGAGGAGGAGGAGGAGGAGTACCGCCAGGAGAGACTTGTTGAGGTGACGGGACCCCAGGAGGTAAGGCGGCTCTTCGTGGCCCCTCCCTCCCTAGGACTGCCCGGGGACTGTCTGGCGACCCGAAGAGGAGGGCAAGGCAGGGGGGGCGCTGGAGGCATGACCCTCACCCCTCTTTACCGAGTCAGCTTGGGCCGCCCCAGTCCCTGCGCGGCCGCCTGCCTTTGCCTTCGGCATCCAAGGGCTTCCTCTGGCCAGGCTCAGGGGCTTCTCACCCTCCTCCTCCTCCTCCTCCTTATTAGGGGCTGCCCTCTTTCCTTTATCCCTTCTGAGCCCTCTCTCCTGGGCTGCCTCCTCGGAGAGGAAGAGGGGGATCTGAAAGCTTAGCCCGGAAGCCAGCTGGGGCGCGTGGGGCGCGTGGGGCCGAGTTTGAGACATCCCAAAGGGACCGCCTTCCCTGTCCCCAGAAACCTGCCGCCCTGGGAAAAAGTCCTGGAAGGGGCAACGCGGTGATGGAGGCCACCCAGACGGGCCTCTGAGGGGGGCACTCTGCCCGTGGTGTCTTTTGCCCCGGTGCCCTCTTGGCGCCAGGAGAGCAGGTGGAGGCAGCGGCTTGTTTCCGAGTGCCACGAAGGCACAGACCTGCAGGGGCTGCTCCACTCCTACCTCGGGTAAAGCCGGTCTTTTCTGCTCCGTGGCTTGCTAAAATAACAAGTCTTCTCTCGGGGCGGCCAGGCCTCCGGGTTTGCGAAGGAAGGAGGGGTCCTCGGCAAATGTCCCTGATCCGCCCTGTTGGGGCCTGAGGCACAGGGCGTCCTGCAATACATGGGGAGGGGGCGCCCCCCCTCACCCATGAAGGGAGGAGTGGGGCTTGCCATGCTGCCAAAGGTGGCCGCTTTCCCCTCGGCCTTTTCCAGGAGCTGGAGAGCCTCTCGGGGATCAGCTCAACGGGGGTGATGGGCAGCGAGGAATCCGAGGAGTCGCCCGCGTGGGAACCTTCGGGGGCAAAACCAGCCGGTAGCTCCCAGTCCCCCGTCAAGGAGGTAAGACGCCCGCCCGGCACCGCCAGAGGAGCAGGTGGCCTCTCCCTGGCCAGCGAAGCCTTTGGGGTGGCTGTGCTCGAGACAGCCTGGGCTCATGGAGGTCAGGAGGTGGGCTCTTGCTTGGTGGGGGGGGCACACCCACACAAGGAGGGGGCCACCCAGTAGGTACCCAGACCTAAGAGGGCAGCTTTCAGGTGAGGGTTGGGTCGCTCTGTCTCGTTCATGGGATTTCATGGCGGTGGAGGTGGATTTTTTTTAACAAATGGCCTTACCATCTGCTGGCGACTTTCCCATATTTCCCATTATGACTTCTGCCTTTCTACCAGGGAGCGAAACAGGGTCTCAGTAATTGCCTCACGTCTTTGGATTGGCTCCCAATCCAGTGGAAAAGCACCCCAGGCGAAAGGTCTCCGCTTCCTTGGGACATTAATCCCGAGGGCTGACAGCCCTTCTTCAGCCCTGTTCCCTCCACCTCCACCATCATCACCACCTCCACCTCCACCTCCACCTCCACCGCTTTTATTTCAGAGCCCACCTGAAGTTTTCCTGACCCAGCTGGATGCCTCCCAGTATCCAGACAAAGAACAGATGCCCCCCTCCTTCATCCTGCCTTTGGTGGACACGGAGTGGTTCCAGAAGATGTTCCCTGAGGTAAGAGCTTCCTCTGGCAAGCCCAGGAGCAAGCGGAGGCTGGAGGCCATCAGGAGGGGGACGAAAGGCCCCGGCTTCTCCCTTTCTGGCCGACTGTCCCTCTCCGCCAAGACACGCCATGACCTCCTGCATTCCTGCCATCTTCCCAGACGGTGGGGACGCCGTGATTCTAGGAGGCGGCGGCTCTCTGCATCTCTCAGTTTCTCTCCAGAATGGGCGAGAAGGACCCGCGTGCTTCTCTTTCGAGGCCCAGAGTTGTGTGCTCTGACATTTCCCGCATGGGCCAGGCGAGCAAAAGAGCCTCGTACCTGGGAGGGGGAGCAAGAGAGGCACAAAGCCCCATTTCCTGGCACCGTCTGGGGTTGCCCTGGTCTCAGGCACTGGGAACGGTCCCCTCAGGAGATAAGAGTCCACTGCTCCCCCC